CATTTGTAGATAAGTTCTGTGACCGTCCAATTGATCTGGCTATGCAATTCTTAATTTTTTCCTTAATTCTAGAGCTTATGCTCTACCTTCTATCCTTAGTCCTGTAGTGATGTCCGTGGCCTTTATTATAATGAATATTTTGAAATCTTTCCGATTGCAAACAGCGAAATTAGAGTTTTGTTAATTTCATGCAACATGCACTAAATTCACTGTCCACATCAATATGGAGTTTTAACAAAAAAAATGTGCCAAACAAATTGACTGTCCGTTATCTTAAGTCAGAGACTTCTGATTTTAATTAATAAGCAATGTCGACACACTTATAAATTAATTTATTGCATTTTGAACATGATTTCTACATTTCTTTTTTTAATTCACAAGTTTGTTTCTTCACATCTTAATGTCAAGGTGTGTAGGTACATAAACTCCTCATGGGAATTGTTACGTTCTGCCTGTCGCATTAATCTGCACAACTTTCACTTACCTCTGGTCCCCATTTTATGTCTAGCCGACCTTGTATATGGTAATAATTAAGTTCGAAAGGGTGATGTATTAACTCCATGAAAATAGGCAACTTAACTTATAGTTTGAGAATTTGCAAGCAAGCAAAATGCTGGTTCGGAAAAGCTTTTATTATGGTTTAATTTGCATTTCTGTTCCGATCCAACGAGCTTGGAGGCATTGCACCTTGAAACTTTATCTAAACATTGAATAATAAATATTTGATATTAATACAATATATACAAAGTTATTTTAACGTTTCAATGTTGCATCCTTGATAGCATTTACAAGATTTCTAATCGCTTGACTAACGCCAATTGTATTTCAATTGCAATTTGCGGTTTACATTTGAGGTTTGAAATTTAATAATACAAGAGCCTATGAGGCGATCAACGTGAATGACCATTCTGGAGGATACTACTAAGCTAGAAAACTTTAACTAAGTCTGAGCGCTTGTTAATTGTATTAAAGTGAAAAAAATTACATATAAGTAATTAACAATATGTAAACTTTACAGAGTTAACATCATTCGAACATTTCTAATGTTATAAATAAACTTTTAAATTATCAATTTATTTCCAAGTTTTTATCCTATTACTTTATATTTGCCTATGTATATTATATTTATTTTGAATCTTTTTTATCGATCCAACGTCCACTATCGTCATTCAGTTAGATTATATAGCTGTAAAGACTTATGAAAAGAATTAGTGATTCCCGCAAATCCTTATTCAAAGACATACAAACGCCCCAACTGGGAATTTTAAAGCTGCAGCCATGAATCAAACTTAAAGCACCTGGCAACTTGGTGGCAACAGACATAATTTTCAAGGTCCGACCTTGCTACCAAAAACGCAAGCAACACCAACAAATAAGGCAGTGGCAAGGACATGTGCCGCCTGCCTCTATCGCCCCGTTGCAGATGCAGCCTTGCACAACCTTCGGCATAGAGCCTTGTAATCAATTTACAATACTTTGGAGAGCAACAACTGCAACAACTAAGCATTAGACCCTACAATGTCATGCCCCAATTTGCGTCGCCGGTGACCTCGTTAGCTATTTCCAAAGTGCAACAGAGCCAGCAACAAGCGGCTGACTTTGACCCATTTAAATCCTTTGAGGTAAGCAGTAGTCACAAAGCGGTATGCGAACGCGACGACGCGTCGCAAACATTGCAATAATCTATGTCAATGTCAGCCGGCGTTGCAGTGGGCGGCGACGCGGCGTTAAATTAACTGAGGCAGAACATAAAGCTCGAGAGCAATAAGCATAGACAGACTGACAGAGGAACAGAGATAGAGAACGTCAGAGACAGACAGAAAGAGATAGACAGATCAAAACAGACAGAGGGAGAGGGAGAAAGAGAGGGAAAGAGAGAGTGCAAACTGCACACACGCGACAGACGTTTGATTCGACTGACGGGTTTCGCTCGCCGCAGCTGATGCCCCCAAACAGAGGCATGCACACAAACACACATACACAAATGTGACCCTCAATTTCTATGCAATTTCGCTGTCCGTGTGTATGTGTGCGCGTATGTGTATGCGCTTGCATCCTTGTGCCCAATCTCTAATACATATTACAAAACAACACAACAAAAAACAAGTTAGAATGCAATCGACTATAGTTCTCGACTTATATATACCCTGTACCCAGGTTTTATTTATCTACTCCATAATACAAGCATACCCAAATGTGTATGTAAATCGAGACTTAAGCAACAATCCAGCACACTGCTAGGTGTACGAGAACAAAAATATCAAATTTGATGTCTGTATTGAGTATGACTAAGTCAGAGTCTTATGTCACTTCTTGGTGCCACATGAAACGATTACAGGGTATGAAAAACGAGTTATGCCTTTGACCTAAATTTTAATGCGCAACAACCTTGCTCCATTTTAAGCACGAAGCTAAGGATTGCAACAATGCCCGTGCTGCATTTGTGGGTATTCCAATACACATACATACATACATACATAGATAGAAATGTACACACGTGTTTTCATACTTACATGTTTTGAAACACTGAAGGTCGCCAAAGTGGGCGACTAGACACCTGACATTGATGAATGTCAGCTAGAACAAGCCGCAGCAGCAGCAACAACAACACAAATGGTGGCAAATGCGTGCGTTTGCTGACGCAGCAGCAAAATCAGCAATAACAAGTGAATTATACTTTGACGAGTTTCTACCTATCGACCACGTTTCTAGCCCAATAAACAGACGCCATTTGATGGAATGTACCAATGTAAATAATATATTTATCTAAACATATAATTCCGAAGCTAACTTTAGTTACATAGAAAACTTTTTGTATATAATCGCGAAACGAAGCACATCATTTTGTTTTAATTGTCAAAAAAAAAGGCATATTATGACGAAAGCGACACATCCGATATGTGAAGTATTATATCGATGCTCTGCGTACAGTATCCAACTACATTAAAAGAAATCGAAAACGGAAATGGTGTCGCAACGAGTCTTTTGTTTGATGTTGTTTTTCCTTTTTGGATTGATCCTTGAACATCAATTCGAGGAAGCATGGAATCGGCATGGAATCCATTAGTTAGGCAAGAGGATAAAATTTGCTGCGCTTTATGGGTAAGTTATTCGAAATCCAGATTGCTTTACTAAAAGCCAGATAGTTTTTAAATCGGTTTCTTGCCGTTGCTTAAATTCCGTAAAAACTTTGCATTAGGCAACACTGCAATTGAAAGAGAGAAACTGCCCATACCTTAATAATTCACTTAAGCAAGTTTTCTAAAGTCGAGTTTCCAAATTTAAAAAATATTGTTTTTTTGCAATCTGAAATTAATTTTAGTTACACCAGGCCTCCGTTAATTAATTAATTAATTTTTTCGAAAATGTAAATTAGACTCCATCGCTTTTGAGACTATGCCAAATATCAAGCACCTGGTTACATACATTTGCAAAACTTCATGATTCCGTTCATTATCACCCATATCTTATCAACATATAAAATCAAGCCATGACAGATCTAACGAATTTTAAAAAAGGTACAAACGACGATGACCGAAAATCACAATCAGAAAATCCATACTCAAGAACCTGCCCAGCCAAAGAAACGTAGATTGCATTTTGTTATCAGCTTCTATAAGACCAAGAATGCTTATGCTCTAAGAATCAAAAGATGTTAAAGAATTTACAAAATATCCTTTCTCTTCACTTCAACTTACTTCTTACATTATGAGAGAGTATGTTACAGTCTAAGGAGAATCATTACCGCAACCCAATATTAACGAACTTAGAATGCTATGGATGATGGAAAGTTCACAAAAAGCATATATCATATCAGAAACTATATTTTCCTTAAGCACCTAGAGAGATATTGTGTTTTGAAATGGTTATACAACGACAATTAGCAAAGAGTTTGAGAAAGAGAAAGAGAATAATTTAACAATGAAGAACAGGAGAACAGATTAAGTTGCGATGAGGACTTCAATCTGAAAACACAAAACAAAAACTGAAAAATATAAATGACAATATAGGACATACCTATATAATATTTATGCAGTTAAGCGGAAAGAAAACAATAAGGAAATCCTTACTTGTTGCGCACTTGATTTTTGTGTGCTATACAGGAGCCAACGTTCAAATGAGTGATGTTTTCTATAATTTTATTTTTGCGAAAACAAATAAACTTGTGACTATCCATATTGCCTACAATTTAAATCGTCTTAATTGCTTTTCTATTACACTTAGCCTAAATAAGGAGAACCTACCGAAAGTTTCCATTTACAATATGTGAAGTCTGGTCTGTTGTTTGGAAGACAAAATTTTAAATTTTGTTATGCCTTAACATATCAGAAATGTTTGTATTCCTTACACATATTACATATATACATATTAGTAGATATTCTACTGAAGTTGAGATTTAACTTGCAACCAGTGAGTGGATCTTCTGGGACAGTAATTGATATATTTTAGTAATGGCACTAATGTTTTTTTTTATGTACCTCCTTATAAACCATCTTCTCCTGCCAATTTTGCACTTTCAATCACTTTCATATAAATTCACATCCACTTTGAAAACGTTAGTATCCATTCTTCAAAATGTGAAGTATTAAAAATAAGCACATACATAAGTATTCTGGCCATTGCTTCAAAGATGGTTTTCGATTTTTTGTCTTTAATACATTTAACTGTTTAACTCTTTCGCAATTGATAGTTTGTAAAATGACATTTTTGGATTGAACCGTTTGTTTATTTTAATTAGATTATGATTGTTATTTTTATTGCGATTACACTTACATTCAGATATTTTCAAAAACTTTTTGTATTTGTATTTGCATTTGGTTTTCAATTGGTATTTTATTCATTTATTAATTATTATTTTTCACATATTTTATTCCTGTTATCATATTTTCCGGTATAAGTCACAATTTTGCTCAGCATACAGTAGAATATTGCCAACAACTCAGTAGAATATTTGCGGCTATGCGAAACGCTTCAAAATTAATGGAGAATTGGCTACTTACCCCCTTGATCATCAATCTCTAGACCAAATTCATCATCTGACATCGACTCATCCTCTGAGCTGAGATTGGAGCCACTGAAATTGCCCGCCTGATGTTGCCGCTGATGTTGCTGTTGATGTGTTTGTCGCTGTTGCTGATGTATCTGATGAAGTTCTTTTGTACTTGTACTTGTAGTATTATCAATATTGTTAGATATTTTGGCAGCGCCACATGAACTGGCCGCTAACTCTTCGATGCTGTGTATTGATCTACGATTGGCAGTGCTTGTTGTTGACGTTGTTGTTGCTGCTGCTCCTGTTAGAGTTGTTGTATCAGCCAAACCATTATTGGCAACAACCATATTCTTGTGACTGCTGCTCGGCACCACTTCGAAGTCCAGCAGTTGCACCGTTGTGGAGCTTAGGAAACTGGATGTGCTTACGACCGCCGTTGAACCCACTCCGTTCTCCAGTGGCTTCAGCTGATGATACTCCACAGAGTTAGACTTCTGCAGAATAACCGGATCACTGTTTACCTGGTCAGTGTTGACCGTTGACTGATCGTTGTTGTTATGACGGTTGTTAAATAGTATATTGGCAAATGATGGCATTGTGACTGATTCCAATATGACCGGCCCACCTCCGGTGCCGCTAGATGGCGCTGTAACTTTGGCATCCACATTATTGTTCTGATTATTATTGTTGTTGTTGTTGCTGTGGGGATTAGGACTGGCAAAGATGCGCTCGCACAGGCCGCTCAATGACACGGCCCCATCCAATTGGCTGCCATCGATGGTTTGCAATGAACTAAAGTTCTCAACGGGTGGATTTGAATTGGAATTGGGCTGTGTGCAGTCCTTTTGCAGTTGTGCATAGCTACCAAATGGCAAAATTGGTGTGCTGCCAGCGCCAAGCATTTGATCCTTGTGATGATGCGGCAGCAATTGTTGCAAATGCTGCTGGTGATGGTTGTTGCTATCGTTATTGTTGTTGTGGTGGTTACTAGTTGAATAGTTGCCTATGCTACTGCTCTCGGCCAACAAAGGTACATTAAAGTTATCCATAATAATAGGTTGCTTAATTCTATTTTCTTTCGTGATGCACTTAAGTGTCTTGGTGATGTTTTAATGTGTGTTTTAAAGTCTGTTGCAGTGCAGCTTGTTGCCGTAGGCGTCCCAATTGTTTAAAACTTATTTTCCAGCTGCAAAAGAAGAAAACAATTAAATTTCTCAAAAATTAGATTAGACAAGAACACACTAAATTTATATATTGCAGAGGCAAATAGTTTTTAGTGTCTATGCTGGAGAAAGGAACGGTGTTTAAACAAAAGTTCGAGATTCAAAATTAATGTAGGTCAAGGTCATATTAATATTTCATAATATTTACAAATGCAGAACTTCACTCCACAAGACTTTTAAATTTTTGATAAAATGCTTTGTACAGCAAAATTAAATTTAAAATAAAATTAAAGGAAAAGTTGTTATGCTATTAGATATTTGTGCCAAGAACAGTTTTCGCTAATAAATTCGAGAAAAAACATACGTTTTGAGTTCTTTAGTTTTTCAGCAGAATGTGTGCAATGTGTCGGAATAGGTCGAATCGGACCACTTTATAATAAACCATAGAAACTATCGGTCGATAAAACATGATATGCCTCTAAGACAGGGCACACTGTAATTTATTTTTGAATCCAATTGGACGCTTCATTTTATACATATAGACTCATTTGACTTTTTAAACCCTGCAGTTGGTTTAACTCTACTCGGGATGCTACTTGATAATTTCCAGTGGTTGTCCAACCAGCTGGAAAGCCCGGCCTGCCTTAAATAACATCCACACACAGAGAACTTGTACAGAAGTTAATTATTTTCATTCAGCCTTTGCTTTGGCATTCTCCTTGTTCGCTCCGCAGTTGCGGCTGAAAAGCTCACCGCAACTAGACAAAAGATCTGGGACAGTTAGCAGTGACGGGTCCGAGCTAGAATGTACGGGGCGTGGCAAGGTACACAGGGTAAACAGAGAGATGAAACACAAACTTACCTTTTCATCATATATATATAAATTAGCAACAGCAGCTGCTGCTGCTGCTGGGTCACGTTAGCAGAGGCGCCTTAGCGCATGCGCTGCTACAGCAACAGCGATCACGAGAAAGAAGAAGACGCTGCTACTCCGTCTACTTTTGGGGCGCTCGCTTGGTTTACTGTGCTTTTTATGTTTGTCGTTCGTAAAACCAGTTGGGACCGAAAGCAAAAGTGCTATTGTTGTTTTTGTCAGCCCGTTCGCCTTCTCTATTTGTTTGTACACTTCACACGGTTATTCGCACACAGCAGAAGAACTTGCGTGATTCATGCTGCCCCTACAGCCCTGTTCCCCCCTGCGATCCGCACTAATGCAGTTTCCGCCTGCGCCAGCAGCAGCTGCGAAGTCGCCGTTGAAAGCTTTTTCAGCATATTTTCTTGCGGCGCACACACTCACATACCCACATATATATACACATTTGCGCTCACGCTTATTATTATTGTTGCTGTTTTTGTTGTTGTTGCTATCGCTAGTGTATGTTCTTGTTATTTGCGCTGCGCCAATTCTCTTGCTATTTCGTTCTTTTTCGTTTTCGTTTTCTTTTTCTGTTTCGCTTCGCCTATTCGCTATTCGCTTTCAGTGTTGTCTTTCGCACATGGAATTTGTTTTTGCATGGCGGCGGCGGCGTTTGCCGCTTCCTTTTATGTGTTAAAACAGCAAATTTATTGCAATTATGCCAAGCCAGACGACAAAAACTTCTTGCACAACAACGACGACGACGACGAGACGAAGAGAAAGACGAGTCCGAGCAACAAGCGAAAAGCTCTTCCTACAAAAACAACAAATTGCAATTCCCCATTACACACACACGTATGCACACGACAGACGAGAACAACGCGCACTTATGTATATTCACGCATACACACACATTTACTGCTGCTGTTATTGTTGTTGGTGTTGTTGCTGCGGCTGGTTGGCAGGGGGCGCTCGACTAATTTTGTTTTTATTTTAGCAGCTCTGCTCCAATTCTATGACACAACAAAGTGTGTACATATATAGTGCATATAATACTGATAGAGACGTGTGTGTGTGTATGTAGTATGTACATACTACATACGTACGTACGCAATAATTTTGCAATTCTTGCACTATCGTAATGGGCACCAGCAGCACGAGCCACACATTTTTAGATTTTAGTTTGCTTTTCAGTTTTTTTAGTGGATTTTTTTGTTTTCATTGATGGTGTTCTCGAAATTGCACTGCGCGCTTCATTTTCATTTTCATTTGAACGAAAGTAATTTGGTTGCGACCGATTCAGGCCACACTGCTCGAAGAATTTAGTTCCTTTAACTTTCTGCCTCTATTTGTTTATTCCGCTTTTTTCGGGAAAACTATGCACGGCACACCACACGCAAAAATTAGGTCTGTAGGCCAACACGAACGGGAACACAGTAAGAGTAGCAAAGTTGTTGGCGTAGGTAGAAGAAGAGGAAAGCACACACGCATACACACGTATGCACATATCATACACATACGCAAGCACAAGCCCAAGCACACCGATAGACAGATCGAGTGCGACGCGGCGGGGCCAAGGACGTGTAAAAGGCAAGCAGCAGCAGCAACGACGGCGTCAAAATTATTCTTGGCCTTTAAACGCGCATTTGAAGAACAAGGACGGCAATCATATGGCGACCAGCAATGAAGCTTTCAGCTTTAAGCAATCGCACACCAAAGCAACTGTGTGTGTAAGCGCTGAATAGCTTTTTCGAAAAGCGCCAGCTCTTGGAATAAAATGTAGCCAACGCAAGTAAGCGCCACCTATTAGACCATTTTGAATAGATTGATATTTGAATTTGTATTCAATAACGTTTCTCTATATAAACTCAAATAATATTAAAACCCAACAATAGAGAAATTAAAAGTATGAAATTAGAAAAAACATGGCATTCCTGTACATAATAGGACTTACCAACAAAATTTTTCACATTTATCAAAGAACAATAACAATAATCTACAAAAGCAGAAGTAGGAGTTTAAAATTTTATATAATACACAATATATGGATTAAACAAGCACGGTCATCTTAGATACTGCGAAGATTACATTCCCCTGCAGACCGGAGTTAATCTGCTGACATATACATTTTGGTTTGAATTATTTTTTTATTGTTAGTTCTAAGCAAATTTCAGATTTCCTTCAAGTCGTGAGTCCTATTGCGAACTCAACATTTCTGCATTCTACATATTTGGGTGACGACGACTATCTCTATCGCAAATACATGTCACAAGTGGAACGTACAAAACCTAATACTTCGGACTCTGCACTAAAATAGTTGAGATTTCAGCATAACAGATCCTATTTACATGGGTATCATCTCCGGCGTGATTTTATTAGGCATTTTTTTTCAGTTTAATTTTAAGATTTATTCTTCATTTTTTCTGAAATCTTATTAAAAAAGATGGATCATAAATAAGCTTAATCGTTATATTTTTGCACAACATCAAAGCTGTATACGTTAACATATACCAAAAAGCATAACTATCCACTACGAAGATATTACATTTATCCATTTGCAATAGGTTGTTTCGAAATTCCAACATAAACCAAAAACACATACAGCGCACTATCTTTACTTTTTGCAAGAGACGATCATTAGCCTCGACCTTAGACTCGCTTAGGCCACACCAACTTAACACACTAACTGAATTTACTTACATAGTTTGTTTCAAGAAATGCATCTCCTTATTGTCTCCTTTTTCAAACCGACAAGTTACCACAGAAAAAATATTAATCTCTTGCTTGGCCCAAGATCAAACATATCAAACTACAAATCAATTAGATGCTAATCAAGCTAAATCAAAAAACATTACGAATCAAATAAAATAGAATGCTACAATTTATCCAATCCCAACTTATTGCACTTATTGTTATTCCTAGCCATAACTACCAATTGAACATGTTTATATACACATTAATAAACCTTTAATCCACTTGTACATATACATACATTCATGAGTTTGTAGTTTTGTAAACTTATCTATTTTTCATAATAACTGTTATAATAATTATAATTTCGATAATTTTATAGATTTAATTTATACACACTTCAAAACACGATCACTTTAGATTTTATTGATAAGAAAATAGTTTGCATTTCCGTTTATTTTTGTTTTGCTTTTTACAAATTACGTTTCTTTTTTATAAATACAATCATTGAACATTGTTGTTGCTTCTCATTTACTATATAATACACATATATGTATATATACATATACATATTTATATATATATAATTGCCAAAAAGTATTTTCAATTATCTTCCGGGTTAACATTATCGCTTACGATACAATATTACATCGAAAAGTTAAAAACCTATATGCAAAATTGATTTAAGATAATTATAAATAACATATTCGTAAGCATACGCACACTGAGTGTTTTATCATATATTTGTATGTATGTATTACTATTATTTCGCTTATTTGATGTAATTTCATTTAAAAATACATAATATATAAATACGCCTTCGTTACATTGCTTACAACTATTTTTTTTATAATTTGCATTATTCATTATTAATATTATTTTTTGCTAACACTTTTTGTTCAATAACCATAGATTACATTACGCAAATAGGCCTAGATATATAAGATTAGCTGATTTATCGGGTGCTCCCTGGCTACCAAAACTTGGTATTAACCGATTCGTGTTACTCGTTTTTCTGCATCGTTTTCATAATCGTTTTTGAATGTGTGTGTGTATAGCACCTTTGTATCACTTTGCACTTAGTTCTAATTATTTTATAAAAGACTGTCTTCCAAAGACAAAGACGTAAAACTGACCACTAAAATAATATGCTAATATATATATATATATATATATATATATATATATATATGCAATATTTATAGTATTTAAATATGTACATACTTTTTTTTTAGCATATTCGAATATATATAATCTAGTGACATAAAATTAGAACCGCACTCGGTTTAAAATTTCATTAAAATTGTTTTAACGCCCAGCAAATTCTTGACGCTCTCGTTGTATCTGATAAGCATAACCTTTGAGGAGCTAAACATATTCAACTTCTCACCGGCACACAACAGCTGCAGGCACGTCGCCTGCTCCAGAAAATCATCAATTTTGAACTCTCTCAGTAATTGCTTATGTGTGGTTGCCAGCGTATTGCCATTTGGACAGATCTGTAAAATACAGTGAAACAATATGAATAAAAATACATGCATTTATTGGGTGTAGTCAGTGTAGTTACGCTGCGTACCTTATTAAGCAGCGTGTCTTTCGACTTGACCTTAAGTAAATTGCACAAATCATTTAAGAGTACCCATTTATCACTGCCCTCATCTTTGAGCAAGTACAGTGGTGGTAGGGGCACATCGGCCTCTTCAAATTTAAAAATATCACTATTCAATTCATCCGATAACGTCTCTCCTACATCACTATCATCATTTTCAATATGATCATCATCATTCATCTCGTTATTTTCTATATTCATATTCTCGTCATCATCCTGGGGTTCCTGTTTAACCTCATTTTTTCCGTTCACAACACCCGTTACATTTTGCTCAACATTAATATCATTGTTTTTGTTGTTATTGGTATCCTCCAATCCCGCTCCAGGCTCTATTTTGAACATTATTGTTGCTGTTGTTGTTGTTGTTGTTGCAGTCTTTCCACATATCTCCCCATTTTGATTAATTATTTCTTTGCTATCCGCCTTTGTCTGTAATAATCCGTTGGAATTATTTGTGTTGTGTCTGCTATTGCTGTTGGTTTTGTGCTTTGCTGGATGATTCTCGTTGTCGCCTTGGTTGCGTTTTTGCCTCCTCCTTTCTCTAAGTTGAGCTCTGCTCATATCACATGCTGTCTTCGGTACACTATCGAATATATCAAAACCGTATTCCTTTTCATCTGTGAACGAAAGAAACATTTTTTCTTGTATCGATATACAAATGTATATATACGTTGTATTGTAATGGTGTATTTACTAAATAACTCCCATGGTCCCAGAAATCGCATCGGTTTTATATCTGCGGCCGCACTTTGTGCATCGCTGAGATGCGAACGCAGAATGCTGCACATCAATTTGCTTGAAGCTAACATGAGTGGTGTTTGGCCTGTGAATGAAAAATATGTATTATTCAAATTGTTCAGTCAGTTAATAGAGGGGCGCGACTTATACCACACAATACGACATACGACAACAATCGTAGCCACAAAAAGAAGATTGCTCTAAAGAACCTTTATTTACTGTATATTCTAACTTTCTTTAGCTGTTTGAATGAAAACGACTCATCAGGATAGTTTGGAAGCTGAGAGACTAGCTTGCATATATGCAGACAGACAATAAGAGCAGATATTATGTATACCCGGGCACGGAGTTGACAAGTATAGACAGGCGAATTATAAATGAAATATGAGAAAATGACAGCGAACAACGCAAACAGAAATCATAAGATGCATTTGAGATTCTGCTTATGATTTGTAATCTTGTTTGCTTGCTTACCTGAGTATGTTGCCAGCAATGGGTCAGCGCCATATGACAATAGGAGACGTACCACCTCCTCATGATCATTTTCTATGGCACCGTGCAATGGTCGAATGCCGGATTGAGCGGCCTCCGAGTGATTGGCACCGAATTGCAAGAGAATCCGTGCAATCTCCAGCCAGCCCTGGGTGCAAGCCTCGTGCAGCGGCGTATAGCCGGCGTTGTCCTTTTGATCCGGATTCATGCCCATGCGATCCAGACAGTAAACAACCACATCGATGAGTCCCTGACGCGCCGCTTTATGCATTGTGCTCTGACCCACACCCTTGTTGAGTACCCATTTCTGTATTTCGCGGCACACGTCCATCTCCGTTTTAATCTTGATCGGCAAGTGGGACGTACTGCCCGCTATGGTGCTGTCTGTATCATCCAAGCGTTCATCTGCAGCAGCATCTGCTGCCGTCGCCGATGTCCAGGCAACCCCTGTCGTCAACAAGGGCGTCACTTGCTCGCCGGCTGTCTTGGCAGCGAGGGTGGTACTGATTGTTGTGCTATTGGCGCTGCTGCTCTGGTGATGCTGCTGGGTAGATTTCTTCTTTTTGCGTATATAATCAAAGCCGGAGCTGCCCTTGCGACGCAAGTACTTTCGTTTGTGGGCACAATGTACTGTGCTCGTTGTTGTTGTGGTGGGTGAATCTGTTTTTCCAGTGTGGTGATTTGTCTTATCGTTGGTGATGCTGTGCCTGGCCAACTTGTTGTTGTTGGCACTGACAATGCGATTCATTTGCTCTAGAAAGTCTTCGTAATGTTGATAGCTCAATGCAGAGTACTCCTCACCGCCCGCCTGATCCTGTGCACACTCCGGTGGCGCCGATGCTGGACGTGGATCCGTGCCAACAAAGATTTCGCGGATGACTTCGCGCCGTTGCTGCAACTTGGACTCGGTGCGCGTCTTGCTCTGCAGCACTTTCGTGTCGAATATGCTAAAGTGCCGCTTGCCCATTGTGTCCTCCAAGCTGGGATCCGCCGCCTCCTGCGAATGCGCCTCGTATAACGAATTCGAGGCGGAGGTCTGTGAGGTTTCGCTGTAGTTGTGCAGGCTAGCGGAGCAATTTGATGGATGTGATGATGCGTTGTTCTTGTTTCCCTGATGGCTGCTGCTGCTGTTGTTGCTGGTGACACGCAGATGAAGTACGTCGATGATTGATTTGGGCATTGCCTTTTCCTGCTGCTGCTTTTGTTGTTGATGCTGCTTTTGCTGCTGCTTGGTTCGCGGCTTGCGACCACAGATCGGCTTAAAGCAGGCCAACTCCTGGCGGAAGTCACGGCCACGCTCCAAATCCGGCAAAGAGGCAGCCATCTGCGGCAACTTGTTCAGCTTGTTCATGGAGATCAAACGTTGCGGTATCTTCAGCGCCACCTTATAACGGTACTCTTCCAGAATTAGTTGCTGCTGCGGCGATGTATTTGTCTTGTTGCCTTTGTTGGTGCTGCTGTTCGGCGTGCTGGACGCGCCGCCTGGTTTGTTTTGAATCTTACGTCCATTTAGCTGGGTCAGATCGACGACTGAAGCACGCTTGTTGCGCAACCGGGTGCTCATCATCAGCTCCTTCTTGCCACCACCATCGGGCACCATTTTCCGCACATATTTCCGCTTGATCTTGGTCGTTGAGTTCCGAATGATTTTCTCGTTGCGAAGCACTTTGCTATTGGCCAGCTGGAGCTCAAGTTCCTTTTTCCGCTTCGATCGTGTCATGGTGTTCAGTGCAATCCGATTCTTTAATTGAGCATTCGCACGCAAGTTTGAGGCGTTTGCCTTGCGCTTGATACCCACTTGATCCGCTTTTTTGCCCTCTTTCGCTAGCATTGCAGCGGCGCCCGCATCCTGCCTCCGCTCGTCGTCATCTTCATCGTCATCGTCATCATCGTCTTCCTCCTGCTGGTGCTGCTTCTCCTTAACATCGCTGTTGCAGCTGCTCGAGTTACTCTTATCCTCCTGGTCATCTTCCCCTTCCAATTTCTGTTCCACCTTTTCGCATCTTGCATTTACGCTCTTCTTTTTAGCTTTGCACTTCCCGCCCGCATATTGCACTATGTTTTCAGTAGCTATGGCTATTCTCGTTTTCATTAGACTTATCGTATTGTTCTTTGCCTCGCTAGAGCTATTGCTAACACCATCCTGCTCCTGTTCCTCGTCGCTGCCCTGCTGTTCCCGGTGCTTCAATTGCTTCTTGTCCTCGGCACGGCGCACCTTGCCCTTGCGCATCATAAGCGGCTTCTTTTGCCTGGCCGTCTTCCGCTTGTGCAGCTCCGTCGTATCGCTCTCGGAGCTGCTGCTCTGGCCCGCCGCTGGTGCCAATCGTGCTGCTATCCGCTGCTCCTGCACAATTCGCTTCTTTTCGCGATCTGTCTTGCTCAGTTTCTTCTGAGCGCCGATGGTTGTGTTTGTCACCTGTGTGGTTGTAGTTGCCGCCGACTCGACATCCACCAGTGCCGGCTGTCGCTTAAGGATGCGCGCCACAGGCAGATCATCCTCACTAAGTTCCAGTTTGATACTGCTTGAGGGCAGAGGCAGAGGCAGTGGAGACAGAGGCAAAGACTGAGACAGAGCAGGTGTTAAGCTTTCGTTCGCAGATGCAGGTGCTACCTTGACGGGCATCACTTTGCTGAGCAGCTGCTCCACCAGATTGTTGCAGGTACTGCCCCAATCCAATAGACTGTTGCTATTAAAACTTGATGGCTTCACATCCAGCTCTAGATCCAGATCGAGCTCCGGCGTGGCCATTGGTTCCGTTTTGATTTGTATGTGATTGATCATCAAATGACTGGGAGGATGTAAAGTAGGTGGCAGAACTGGAACGCTCGTTGTGGATTCACTTGCACCTGATACGGGTGCTGCAGCAGCTGTTGTTGTCGTGAAAATAGTAGGAGCCAGCACTGGTGGCGTAAATGTGAATCCCTTGAGCTCGGCCTTTGTGCGAATCCGTGGCTCCGGCTTCGGCCGCACAACCGGCTCCTGGCTGGGCTGTGGACCAACAATGATGCGGCCTTGACTCGAACCCGTTGCCGGCAGCTCAAGTCGCTTGGCTGCCAGTGCCTGCTCATTGATGGCAATAACCGGCACTGAGGCAACCATGGCCCCCTTTGGCTGAGGTGATTCCAGACGCGTCTGTTTCGCTGCGGCCGCAGCTGCCTCTGCAGCAGCCGTTGCCTGATTGTACTCTTGGAGATGCCGTTTCCGTCCCAAATAGTTGGGATTGCTGCTGTTGTGGACACTAGTCCCAGCGCTCGGCACATGACTGTTGTTGCTCGTCGTCGTCGTTGTTGTGCCAGCAGTGAGTGGACTAGGCGAGGTCTCGATGTTACTGATTGTCGTCTCGGGCGGCAGTTGCGGTCGCTTGGCATACGGATTCGTTTCTACTACGCTGGGTCGCAACTGTTGCGCCGCCTTAATCAGCATGGGCGTGGCATCGGCTGGTGCAGCAACGGCAGCCGCGGCAACACTAGCAGGCGCCTGGCGTATGACAGCCGTTGCGGCTGCTGTACTTGATGCAGCTCTGCTGCTGGTGCTGCGCGCGAAATTTGGCGTTATATCAAATCGCGGCAGACCCAGACCAAGACCCTGACCTCCACCCGTTACAGTGACGGGCTGGGGCGAGGCAGTGGGTTTGGACTCCGGCATGATGCCCTGATATTTATAATCGGTCGAGTCGGCTGTTTGCTTGACTGTGCGCATGGACAGATCAAGCGGAGAGTAGGTGGCAGGCGGAACGGGTGGTGGCAAGGGTCGTTGCATCTGTTGTTGGATAACTGGTGCTGGCATAGTAGGAACTGCTATGTTTATTGCACTTGGCGATTGCCGGCTAGTGGTGGGTATTAATGCTAAATGAATGTCGGGCGTCTCCATATTGAGGGTCTTCTTGATGATCTGTAGATTGCGCTCTTCCTCGCTGGTCGTATTCCTCTTCAACATGTCATTGATTAGCGCTCGATAATTGGGCTTGGCTGTTGAGGAATTGGTTTTCCTCGGCACAGCCGTCAACGCCGGTTTGGAAGCCACTGGCGCTGGCTGGTGACAACAGATGTCCGGTCCGTGTGGATACACCTGCAACATTGAATAATTCGAGGTGGACGCTGTGCCGCTGCACGCCGGTGGCGGTGTATGAGTATACAGCTGCTGTGCAGCGGGCGTGGGAGAAGCCACCTGAGCAGCTGCTGGGGATGGCGTGCCATGGTGATAATATGAGGCATGGCTCGAAGTGGAGCTGGAGGAACTGCGATGCTGAAAGGCAGCACCAGATGGAAGTATTTGTGGTGCGGTTGGCGTCGGTGCAGCATGCTGCTGCAACAGTTTGCCATACTTGGTAGGAAAGATTAGTGGTGCAGCGGGCGACGAGCCTCGTGAGCTGATTGCGGACGCTGACTGCTCCTTCTCCGGTGGTGCTGCTGTGGGCGGATTGTACGGATTATGATAGAGCGAGGAACGTGCCAAAGCCGGTGTCTCCGACTCCAATTTGACATATGCGTTGCTGCTGCTGCTGCCACCAACACCTGGTGCTTTTGCTTTGCCATAAAAGCTGACTGTGGGCCGTGAATAATTGGCGCCACTGCGTCTATAATCCAAACTAGGCGATGGACCCGTTTCTCGCACATATTTCTCAATGGCATTGTGCATCGTGTTCTGAAAGTTTGAGGGCATGTACAAGCTCTGATGTTGTTGCTGTTGTTGTTGTTGGGTGTGCTGCATATGGTGACTGATAGCTGAGGGCGTGACAGGCGCTGCAGCGCTATGCTGTTCCGTTGGCGGATCATAATGCTGCGGACACTTGCGCGCATAATTGGGACTGGGCTGCTGATCACTGGTGCCAAGCAGCACATTTGTGGGATTCACCACATGCTCCAACTGATCGTAACGAGAGGAGCGTGCAGTCAACTGTTGCTGCTGCTGCTGCGAGGAGGTGGAGGAGGCACTGCCAACTGCGGGCGCATAGCTCAATACCTTGGCCCCTTGGCCCGGCACTGCACTTGAGTATTTGATGTTGTTGTCCTCATAATAGCGGTGATTGCTCCCGTTCCCGCTGCTGCTGCTGATTGCACTTCGATGTGTTGGCGTCTGTGACTTGCTGCTGTACCCATATCGCGACTGCTGGTCCTGCTGGTGCACCAGATGCGATGGCTGCTGCTGTTCCTCTTGGGGCGGCGGCCAGTGGGGTGCGGCGTTGTACATGGCGCTACTGTGATGACGTGCCATGGGCGCGGGTGCAGGAGCTGGCGCAGCTCCAGTTGGTGATGTTTCCTGCTCCGTCTTATACTGCCAACAGAGATGAGATGACGGCGGCTCTGTTGATCTCTCACCCACACCCAATTCGCGATTGGAGGTGTAGTATTGTAAATGCGGATCGCCACCCAATGCAGCGGCAGCAGCAGCACCTATGGGTGGCATTACAGATGCTGCTGCACCACCACCGCCACCACCAGCAACACAGCGAGCGTTCATCACATAAGTGGCGGCACGGGATCGCTCCGCATCCGTTCGCTGTGAATTGTGGTAACCAATTGAAGAACTGCTGAAGGTAGAGCTATTGACAATCGCTTGATGTTGGTGGGGAAGCGGTTGAAGGTGGTGTTGTTGCTGTTGTTGTGGTGGTGGCGGTGGTAGTGGTGGGGGAGCAGTTGCTGTTGCTGCCGATTGTTGCTGATGCTGATGGTGTTGTATGTGGTTGCTATGCACTGTATGTTGTGGATGCGAATGCACAACCTGATGTTGGTGTTGATGCTGATGTTGTAGTGGGATATGGGATTGATGATGATGCGTTTGATATTCATAATGTCGATTGGGTTCCATTGTGGCTGAAATTAAAAGAAGCAAGATACAAATTTTTACTATGAGTCGTAAGACAAATAAATTTGGATATTATAAGATGAGACAAATTGAATTGGAGTATTCAACATGAGAGTTCACTTCTCAAATCAAATCTCAAATACATTTAACCAAAATTTCATTGAATATATTCTTTAAAATTTACAAACTTCCGTTTAAAAAGAATAAAATTTAAGATATTTTTAAAAACTTCTACAATTGTCTTATCAATCCGACATAAATCTCTATCGATTTCAAATATTCGATTTAATCAAAACATAGTTAATCGATTATTTAATCGAACAGTAAAAATACTTCATAAATTCATTTCTCCAGTTTTTTTTAAGCGCGACACGTGTTCGTATTTGTATAGATAAATTTCGAAGCAATCCAATATTTATGTTATATGAATCACAGATTCCCCACTGGGGGGCGTGTTTGGGCTCATGCTTGTCGTTTAATAGTTTGCCAACAGGTGTGCAAGTGAAAACTTACCCCACTAGATTCACAACAACCAAAATCTCACGTGTTGTTGATAACACTCGAAAAAAAGTATACAAAAATCAAGTAAAATTGCTCTCGTCAACAGAGCTCGACTAGAAAATACCCTAAGCTCAAGAGTTTCATTTATTCATATATTGATTTAAACACACACTCAAATATAAAGCGGTGAATAAAAAAAGTCGAAGACATGCCATGTTTTTATCCCCATCAGCCTACGACAAAAGCGTGCCTACAACATCTTATACATATACATATACATATGTATGTATAAATAAATATATATATATACGCATGGGGGCACTGCGACGCTTCACATATACGAGTATGTACATCAGTATGTAGACAGAAAATGCTTGCGCCTGCTGATAGTAATTTGTTGGGTGTTTCTTATCCGATATTGATGAAATAATTTACGGTTGACCAATAATATGCCAAGTAATATTTAAGACATTAAAATGGTGGCATTTATTGCTATTTGAAATGGATTTGTATCGATATTTGAGTTTGAAAATTAAATAAGCTAAATGAACATGCATTACAAATTTGGGAAACAATATTATATTTGTATTTCTGTTGAAAATCCCAATACACCAAAGTTGAGCCGTTGTGTTATAAAAGAATTACATTTTCAGTAATACAATTTGATACATCTATTCTTATCCAATATACACAAGGTACTCAGAGATACTATCAGCACAAACGCAAATCTAACCACATCCACATAAATGTTGTCAAACATGAATGCGTATCGTTTGTACGATATCTATTCACATTCTAAATTCAATAACGTTTTACCTTCAAAATAAGAAATTAAATTAGCAAATTACAGTTTTTATAATGAGCCATTTGTATATTGTAGATTTTTCAACAGACGACTTGTACAAATAAACAAACAAATGACAATCAAACAACAAATAAAATAATAATACAAAGAATTACCCAAATTCATTGGCCCCAAAAACTCAGAAGCGCAACAGGCGAAGAACAGTTGTGGGCTGGCTGGCTGGCTGTCGATTGTAGAGGTCAAGGCTTGATATTTTTGTGTACACATTTTTGCTTAGGAGTGTGCGCGCTTATGTGTATATATATATGTGTGTGAGTTGTGTGTTTGATTACCGCCAGCAAAAGTGTAAATAAATTGTGACGCACTCTTATTTTGTTATTGCAAATAATATGCATGTATTTGTATGTACGGAGCATATGTACATGTATATGCATATGCATTTGCACAATGTGTGAACGAAATGAAACGAAACGGAACAAAACCAACTCAATATTATTAACCGACGTAAAGAGCACAACGAACTTTTGTGAAATCATAAAACAAAAACAACGGAATAAATTTGTTATCATTTTAACACTCTAACTAAAACTAAAGAATGAGAATAAAGAATGCATTCAGCTGAGAGTCCAACTGATACAAATTTAAGTATTGTTGCAATTGCAATTTCAACTGGTTGTTAAATCAAATGTGTATTTGATAATTCGATTTTCATTTATTTGATAATCCCATTCCCGTTTGTCCTATTTTGATTCATTTCTGCCAAAATGTTAGGAAACTAATACATTAAATCACTTACAACTGTCATCTGTCAAAATTGGAGTATTAAGTAACTCAAAAGCCCTAATTGATATTTGGTCTACAGAGTGGTAAAAACGTGGACTGCAAATGCAATGTACATAACGATGTTAGGAGTTTACTTTTGATATATGACTATAAATTAGCTATGTGAAGGGTAAATTTTAAGAGGCAAACAAATAGATTTGCAATTGAATTAAGCACGTTCAAATTCAATAGCTATTGAATAAAGTATTTACAAATTCAATATGTACTAATTGCCAGATGATGGCCAAACAATTATGTACCTAATTAAGAAATACAATCATCTTTTCGATACAAAATAAAATTCTAAAGTGTTACCGCATTAAATTTAATAAGCTATTTATCACTTCCTAAGTAAGAACACCTTATACATGTTAAGCACAAATTTATAAATAAGCTAACAGCAAAGAGTGCCCATCAGTTGTAGAAAGCTCACACTAAGAACAACTAAAGCGACATATGAATACTCTCTCTAAGCGTGAGATCTGGACTAGAAAGTAATCTGAAATTTACGATTTCTTTAACAACTTTAGTTGTTAACCGATCCTGATACTATTCGTACAGTTTATCAATGTTATGCCAAGGTTTTTTTTTGTATAATCAGTATTAAAGAATTGGAGGAATTTATCACTCTAATTTCGCCACATTTATAAAGATGAGCAGACAAATAGCTCCGATGAAATAGCTCAGCCGTACTGTCATCAAATTTTGTTCCTCATTTACGCACAGCTTTGAAGTTTATCAAAAGTGTACCAACGTGGAAACAGTGTATCACTTTTTGTACAATTGTACCACACGTGGCAACAGATATAACAATAGCCACATCTCTATCGTCTCCAAAAATTATTATATCCTCTGAAAAGTGTTTAAAGTGAAATTTTTATTTGATTTTTAACTTAATATTCTTGAATTTAACATTATATTTCGTTCTATTAGCTTAAGAGATATTGTAACTTGATAAAAATATCTTCATATTAAATCAATTATTGAAATTTTGTTTGTTATGATTTTAATATATCATAATTTTTCTACAGTATTATTATATTCGATATGTACAGTAATTCTTATTAATAAGGTTTTTTTTAATAGGTGTTGTACGTGAAAGACTATGACAAATCAAATACAAGCTACAAAAACAACGACCAGATCGAGACAATTTAAGATAACAATGTCAACGACTGTGTTGACGTTGACGCCCTCCTTCCCCACCCCCTTTGGAAACGACAACGACGGAGCATAAGCGCAGGTTTTGATTTTGTACAATGAGCTAGAATGGGAGCAGAAGAGAGTCAATAAAGGCTATAAAGAGAGAAGAAAAAAAGTAACAAACAAAATTTTCATTTGGCTTCTGTGCTCGTGTTGTTGTTTATTTCATTTATATTTCTTCGCATTATATTACTGACATTAGTCTAGTCAAGCTTCTCTGACTTTTGCTTCATTTTGTCATAAAATAATATAATATCCCAAATTGTGATGTAAAAATTTTTACACAAAACAAGTGGAGAAGGATCGCACGTAATAAATAAAACGTAAACAAATCTAAATTAATTTTACATTTTCTGTTCACTCATTGACCTATTTAGTTATATTATTATGGTGATAATTATCCGTTCTACTTTGAGCGACGCAAATCATGGAAAATTATGAAATTATTGCGCTCTATTAAATTAAAGAAACTTAATGATCTCGCAGAGGGGGAATGCTGTACAAATTAATGGCTTAAATATTGTAGGCGTTAATACTGTTTTGACACACATTGATCGACAATTTGTATTGAATTGTGGATTTTATATTATAAGAACAATAAAAACGTCCCTTATAAGTTTACAACCAGTGCCATCCATAGAAATTTATACCATTTGCACTTGCATAATTATATAAACATAATGCATAACTATACATTTTGAATTGTATATTATTGCGGTTTAGGCTTTTAAAAAACTTGTATTACCAAATTTTGGCCTTGTCCAGGAAAATTATATTTTATGGATTATTTGATTTGCGTCTTTAGCTAGGTCTAGTGTACTTCAGTTTACTCACCATGAACACTTTTTTTTTACGCTTTCCATTAATGACCGCCGGTAAATCTTATCACATTCACCAATCCTCTTCATCATATAGACGCATATCTACAAGATGATTTGAACACTCAGTTGCACCTAAATTGTACAAAATGTAGGCTTATTGGCCAATTACACGATTGACAATTTTTAATTGCAAAGTATATTTAAAGTTAAATATCTTGGAGTTCTCTTTGATTCCAAACTCGGCTTTAATATTCATATGCCCAGAATTATTAATGACGCCATGTGTGTACTCGGCTTCATTAAGCGTTGATCGAAAGAATTTAGTGGCCCTTGCACATCTAAGCTTCTGTTCTGTATGTCTCCTTAGTCTCCTTAGTAGTGTAAATTCAGCATTTTTGGTCTGATTGGGCTTTTCAGTGTTTTCCTAATCCAATAAATGTTTGACCGCAATTAATTTTAATATCCGCATATTTATTATATCCTATATTTATTATTATTTTTTAATTTAAAATATTTGTATTGTATATCATTTTATTTGTAGTTTTAATTTATTGTAATGTAGTTTTAGAACATATTTAGAAAATTGTGGACTTATTTTAGACTACGTTAAATAAGCTATATAAAAAATGGTGGGAGACATGTTGATTTATCGATTATTAACTATCGATGTTTGAAATCTCAATGCATATGGGGTTTGAAAATACAATTAATAATATCAAGATTTTTAATTTGAATGCTAACTGCAGACTAACTATATAATAAACCAATATTAAGACCTTATAATAGATATGTAAGTAATTTGTTATACGTCCACTATAAATAAAATTAACATGCATATACAACATACATATGCGTGTATGTATATTTAAGTGGCAGGGTTTGTTGCCAACTCACGATATACCTAAACAGTTCTTCAGTTCTATTTTGTTTCGAAACAAACCGGTTGCTTAAAAGCTGCTTTAAGCTTTAACAAAGCAACAGCAAAGCTACAGAAACCGTTTAAGCGCACATTATAGTACACTACTTAGTTATGGGGATAAGAGTTGATGGGCGCATGTCTTGTTCTCTATCGTTACACTTGGCGCGACGTATTCGTCTAAAACAATTAGAATGCTTTTGTCAAGAGTGCCCGATTAAACAATATCTTTTGCCTCACCTGCGATCGCTCCTATCTATATGTGTACGTACAATGAAAATACAACACAGATTATGGAACAGAGATTAAATACTTTTTGCGTTTCTCTTCCGAACGAATTGGCCTCTTAATTAAGTTGATTAAGAGCTTCTGAATTCATTCGAAGTCGATGAAAAATCAGACGACCCTCAAAGTAAGTGTTTAGCACAGGACTTCTACCTTGTACGTATTGATAAATAAATAACCAGATTTGCTCACGATTTTTTTTGTATAAATATTGCTCAATAGCGTAGGGAAAATTTTGTAAGCCCCTTAATTTGCATACGTTTCTTATACAGATGTCAGAATCGGAAGTAGTTAATAGCGAAATAATTAGATGGGAGCAGGTATACTTCAGTTAGCAAGGGTATATTGTCTTCGGTATACCTAAACTAGCTTTTTTGTTTTGATCTTCTACTTTGATATCGAAGGTATCATAGTATATTGGTTTTGTGCAATGTCCGTCATGCTGTCTGTCCGTCGGTCAGTCTGTATGAACGCAACTTTTTTGACACCCTTAGAGATAGAGACTTGAAACTTGCAGCACATGCTGGTCTGTGTCCGCGTCAGACAAAGGGTACAAATTGGAGTGCTACGTCCACAAGGCTATAGTCATCAAATTTGGTTGGTATGTTGTTAGCGATGTCATTCAAAGCTCGGCCTGTGCCACGCCTACCTCCGCCGCATCCACGCCATCCGCTCCCGAAAATTTTAAATGGCTATATCTTCCGCAGTTTTTGAGTTTGAGCCGTTCAATTAGGTATTTATATTACTGGCGGACCTTTAAGAACGCCCATGCCTATATTTCGAAAAGTGTAAATCGATAAGTCCGCATATCTCCCACAAGTCTAAAGATAGAGTGGTCAAACTAAGCTAACTTGCTGGTAACATCCCCCAAGGATCGGCATGCCAATTTTCAGACCACGCTCACACCCGGCTCCCCCAGGAAGAGATAAGAAATTGGATGGCCACACCCACTTCGCCTCCCTAAACTGAATTGATAAGACACAATTTGAAAGCTAAAGTTACCATATATGGAAGTATACTGTATCAAAGTATTTCGCGGTCGGTTACGCCCGACTGCATCGTTCTCTCTTCTTTTTTTATGTTGTCGTTTTTTTTGTTAATGCATCGCCGATATATAGAGGAAATTTTGACATATCGATATTGCATTTTCGTTTTTCTCATCTTCGTATTTCTCTTCCGAGCGGCATTTTGCATGCATGCAAAACTTACTCATCAAAGCAGTGAAAGTTTATTACTTTAAACTGATTATTAAAGGTTTTGTTATTTTAAAACCAAATTAATTATATTTTTAAGCTTTTTTTTGGAAACCAGGACTTTTACAATATTATGGGTTATAAACATTTAATCCATTCTTTTAAAACAAATATCATCCATTTGCGTTTTTAGCTGTTTCACAAAGCGTAAACTTCTATTACCGATATGTGTTTCAGTTAAATTGAATTTTGAGAAGTTACAAATCAGTTTGTTGTCGTACATTTTGTAAGTCAAAATAACATTCATGCCTACGCTTGCTACATCGAGGCAGAAAAAAAGGGGTAGACAAAATATTTTTGATTCAACACAGGTGTAATAAAACTGGATAAATAAATTCATTAAAATCTGTCCCTTGCTGAAGTATTTTCTAAGTATAAATTTGTTGCTCTGCCAAATTGTACAGTTGTTAATTCCAGTTCACCAAAATTATTCAAATGCAATATGGAAAAGACAAAATTAATTGCAAATGCAGATCGGTTACCTCTTTATATGAACGTTGGAATATACGTTTGTCGTTGTGTTCTCAAAATGGATATGTTTGGCGCCTTCGCAAATGGATGCACCAAAAACCGTGCTGAATTTATATCATTTGTAGTGGTTGTATATTTATTAAAAAACACACAAATATAAAGCGCAGTCTGTTTTTAGAAGTCTTTTTCGCTCTATTTTAGTCAGACAGCTTAAGTAACAAGCATATTCGGTATATTATTTAATAATCGGAAGGATTTAACTAAAGCGCACCTGAACACAACAACAACAAATTGCAGTAAAAACATTGGAGACGTTTACACAGTTGAAAAGTGTTTGAAATTAATTTAAGTGGAAATTAAAATCACATTCGCGAAAAAAAATAAAGAAAAGCAAAAACGTACCTCCAATTTTTAAAATTCAAACAGAGCGCGCGCGCGCTTTGCGAAAGGAGCCCTTGAAAATGTGATGCTCAATTGTAAAGCCGAGTGGCCTGTTGGACGTTGCCTTTGTTTCCTTCTCCCTTCAATCCCTTCTTTCTTTAGCGTGTGTGCGTGCGATGTCAATGTTGAAACCAACGCGTCTTCCCACCTCCTCCTCCTTCTTTTTGTAGCTCTCTCTCTCGCTGAAGCTTTTCGAAAAGACTTTTACTGTTATTTCACGTTTTGTGCATGTATGGGAATATCTGTGTAGGGCCGTTGCTGGGGTCTTCTACAATTCTTGCTCTTGTAATTCCTTTTGGCATTGCTTTTCACTTTACTTTACTTTACTTTTATTTCATACACTTTTTTTACACAGACTATACACATGCAAACACAACACACACACACACGCTGATGATACACGTACAAATTTCTTGCGAAGCAACTTTTTAGTTGTTGCTGCTCTTCTTATTTTTTTTTTGTAGTTGTTGTTCCTTTCTACGTTAAAATACACATGTACACAACATGTAAGTATATATATATTATTTATATATGTATAATATTTGTATATGTATATATGAATGAAAACCAGTATTTGCCTTCTTTCACTTATTTCAAGAAATTGTTGAATAACGGTTTTGAAGCGATATTGCGTGCTTTTGTTGTTGTTGCTGGTTTTGTTTTACTAAATTTCACTTTGCTTTCTCGCGACGTTGTTGTTATTGTGTTCGTGCACATAGTTTTTGTTACTCTCTCGCACACACACACACACATTCACATGCACAGGTACATAACATATACGCAGTGTATGAAATACAGGGTGAATGCAGTTGTGTGTGTGTTTTAATATCTTTTTGTGAAATTGTTTGTCTGATAAACCTGTCCTGCAGCGTCGACTTCGACGCGCCGCTTTTGCAACTGCCTATTCCTCTTGCACATTTGCTTCATTTATGCAGATCGCTTGAGAATCATGCAAAAAATAACAATTATTAGACTAATTGTTTTTTTGTTTCTTGTTTTTCATTTTGCACAAATACAGTTTGCATTTCATATACATATACATGGCAATCAAGCAGCCAGCAACACATCATCTTCATTATATATAATATATTTATATATATATGTATATGCATAGTATAATTAACGACGGCGCAAATATTCCAAAAAGTATGTTTGTTGTTGTTGTTGTTTTAGGCAACGTTCATTGCCACTTACGCACACACACACAGACAAAGCAAACACACCAACACACACTCTGGAAACGCTTCTTCTTCTATTGAGAGACCGTTATGTTAGCGATGCCGACGTCAACGTCGACGCCGTCTAGGGGGGCAATGATTTCGTTTCGATTCGTTTCAAGGGAACTTCATTTCTATACTTTAAGCGCCCCCGCGTCTTGTAAGCGAAACAAAGACAATTTCACTTGTGTAGCCACCAAATGTGCGCAGCGACACACACACACACACATGGCGCATTGCGTTTGAATGTCAAAATTCAAATTTGTTTTAAGACATTTGATTTAAATCATTTGCACGCACATTCATAAACACACATGCATGTACACATACACACAACTAGGCTGACACAATTACAAAATTGTCGGTCGCTGAGTTTTCTACTTTTTTGATACTTCTTTTTTGTATTTACACACACACACACATAGAGACACACACATACAGATGCACACGTATATTTATTATAATACACTTCACTACACACAACGACGAATAGCGCGTTGTTTTTGTTGTTGGCCTACTTTGTGTGTGGGGAATTTTGTTGTTGTTGCTGTTGTTGTTGTTGCTCAGCTTCTCCTTTTGCAGCAAAGAAACGTAGCAGAGACTGAAACTGCGACGGCGACTGAGGCTGCCTCCTCTGCTACGTCGTTGTCGAAAAATTTCACACGCGCCGTTTTTTTATGTGTCTTTTTACGTAAAAAAAAACTTTTATGAAATTTCCATTGAACTTTAATTGCACTTGCACTTAGTTGTAATACTAGATTCTTATGTATTTGCGTTGCATTAGATTATGTGCATTTATTTATGATCGTTTTTGCTTTGTATACTATGTATATTTGATATTGTTATAAAAAGAAATCACTACTACTTAAAAATCGAGAGAGACTAAGGCAAACGAACGTATGAAAAATGAATGACTGAGAAAGTGACTACAAAAATACACGGGGCTGCCAACCGTTGCGTTTATTTCGTGCTGCCAGCACAAGCAAATACAATGAACTAAAAATTACCTAAATTATTAAAAATCGTCTGACCACCACACACGAATACGATATCAAATAAATATTTTATTTCAATTTCTAATTATTTTCGATTATTTCCATAATTGCCGGCACACTTTTTGTCTTGCTCAGTTTGACAAGCTAGTATTTAATATTACCTTAATTACCTTACCTTAATTTTGCTAGACTACCCACAATATTGTGAGGTATTTTGACGCTTACGGCGTACGGCCACACTCAACGCCGATATCATTGCGCCGCCTATAAAAGCAGTGAGCGTTGAGTCCTACGTGTTTTAGTTAACAAAATTTCCCGCAAAAGAGCGCTCAACGAAAAACGTACACAAGTGCATTCTCTCAAATTCTGGTAATCAAAAGATAATCAACAAATAAGGCAACAAAATGGCTGCGCGCGATGCCGCTTCAAACCAATTGCTTGATTATAAAAACTCTCAAAAGGTGAGTTGCCAAGGGTCATAATTGAATACTAAATTTATTCTAAAATTAAAAGCATTTAAATTTATTACAATGGAAAGGTTCCAATGTAATAAACAACAGCGCAATTTGCACCGGCAGAGACAAAGTTCAGTTAGATTTGCCTTTTGTTTTTGTTGTTCGTGCCAAGTGCTTAGTGCTCTCTCCTCTCTCTCCTCTCTCTCCTCTCTCTCCTCTCTCTCCTCTCTCTCTCGCTCTCTCTTTCACGCTCTCTCCTTCTCTGCCTTTCTCTTTCAAACGCGCCCCATACGCAACCTGCATGCGCAAGTTGGTTTGAGTTGCGTATCAGCAGCAAGCATACAATACATGTATTGCATACACATACATACATGTGTTGTATATACACACATGCTTGTAATGTTTTGTGTATATACATTGGTGATATCAGTAAATATCCCAAGCACTTTTATTCAATATGTTTGTATGTGTAAGTGAACTGGACAGGCTTCAAACATGCTCGAAGTGTGAGATTTGCAAGAAGCAATGTTTTCGTCCGTTTTTTTTGGAAGCAACTGCACTGAACTGAAAGTAATAATTATAAACGTTATCAGTTTTGAGATTTTTTTGAGCCTCTCAACTCACTCAGCGGATTGTATATTTGACACATCCGCATTTAATCTTATCGGTTGTGGTTCCGATAAGGACTATCATTAGATAAAACTGGATTATAGTTCAAATGTTGTACCTAATCCAAAGGTCTGCTTCAGATTAAATTTAGTCAGTACCTAAACAGATAAACATACACAGGTATCTATAGTATATATCCTACAGGTATATATTGTATATATCCTAGAATGAAATATTGAGTTCTTTTAGGTTGTAGCAATTCAATGAAAATTGTATTTCTGCTTGAATTGCCACACAAATTGCTCAGCTTTAAATTATTTATTAATTAACTTATGAAACAATAAGGTAAATTATGAAATCATTTATTAATTAGCGTATGGGACAATAAGCAGCATTGAAAAATAAAAGCAATTCACAGACGTGCTTGGGCGGCTTTTGGAGCGGGGCCTTCGTAGACGGAGACCGAAGAGCGTCAATTGTGTTTGTGGTAAAGACTGATATTTCTTTCTTGCTTCAGTGAAGTCAATGAACTTTGAAGTTGCATAAACTGGTTGCAGGCATTGGCGATCGACGTCGATTAAGGCATTGAACTCGCACGCGTTCGCCTTAAACTCGCCCAATGCAAAATATGTACAAAATATGTTCGCTTGTGGACCAAGTTGGACAGTTTCCTGCCTTCCATGCCTCATATCTGGTTAGTGGCACGATCCACATGATCGAAACAAGAAGAAGCAATTACTGACTTAAACGCACATTGTGCTGAAATGGTTATGCAATGCATTGCGACTAATTTGCACATATATCATCGATTTGCACACATACATGTATATGTGAGAATATGTTTCGAAATCGGAATGGAAGTGACCCACAAAAGTGTTCTGTGTGCTCGGTGTTCACTGTTCGTGTTGTTGCCCCGTTGCCTGACCTTCAATGGAAACTAGACGCTAACTAGAAACTGCATTCTGTCAGGGATTATTTGGCTGCCTTTGTTTTTTTATTTCCAACTGCAATTTTCTCACTTCTTTGTTTGTAGGAATGCTCGAAATGTTCTTATGCACTATGTATGCACATCCAAAACTTATTCAAAATGCAGCATTTCCTTTCTTGTACTCTGTACTACATACCACACAGAAATACCTTGGGGCAAATGTAAAAATTTCCACAGTTGAGTTTTTCAAATATTTTTAATTGTTTGAGTACAAGGTGGTTTGGTTTCCAAATTCAAATATTCATTAATAACCCAAGTTTTAAAATTCAATGTGTTGTTTTGTTATTCGCCAAAGTAACCAGTATTTTTGTGCCATGCTTCTTATAACGTTTGTCACAAATAACATTTTCAAATCTTCACATTAATCCTAGTTTCAAGGAGATCGTTGCTTACTTTTTGACATCAAGAAAGCAAAATACAAAAAAATTGTGTACTTATACTTGATGTGTTTATCAGTTACCGACACATTTATAAGCTTCATTAACTTGTTTCTCGAATCAGACATCTTGCAATTAAAACTTTCCGATGTTTTTGCATTTCTGTACTATTAAGCGATGGGTCTTATCAATGTGCCTTTTAGACACGCCTGGAACCCACTGTTTGCTTCCTATTATCTATCTATCTATGTAGTTGCGCCCTCTGAAGTGGCCCCCAACACATTCCCCACCACATTTTTGGCGCTGTTTCTGTGTGTCTCAAAGTGCAAACAATTGTGATTGCAAATCAGATGAATTGAAATTGAAAACTTTACGAAGCGCATTTCGTACAATAGAATTTTAATTTGTTTAACGTATGTTGTATATACAGTAGTATAAAGTGTATAAAGTGTTTAGTACATCCACTTAATTTTATTTATTTCTAAATATATATTTTCCACTTTGAAAAACAGTTGAAATTATTGATGTGTGATGAAATATCAGCCAATTAGACAATGTGTCATAATCTTATTAAACGTTAATTTACTTTTTTGTGACTTTTCATTGTTTCTCAAACCTGTATCTGTGCGAGATGCACTCAGTAAAGAGGCTTCAGGTGATTCAAAGGTTAGCTTTTCATATAGAATCATTTATAAGCTATTCAGGGAGCGGCAGCAGCTAAAACAAGGAATTCGAAAGTCACGACACGTCGTCGCGAGAGTTGGATAATAATTAGCAATCTTAACATTAAGATCTTTATATGGCATGCATTTACACGTATATATATGAACACTCACTTAGAATGTACATTTAGTATTCCATATTACACGCAAAACTGTCTGTGAATCGAGGCCCCCCATTAAGAATACATATAGCGATAAGCCCAGCCCTATCTTTGTGTTATTTATGTTTCCTGGTTTATCACAAAAAAACTAAGATAAGATATGAGAACTGATACTTTAAACTTGCTTTTTTAACAACATATATGAAAATATGTATGTATGCATATTAGCTTGTATCAGATTAGATTTATTATACTTTGAACTCATTGAAACCTTCTTAAACGTGTAACATTTGCTCACTTGCAGGAGAGTCCGGGTGTAATTACCACTGGCAGTGGTGCACCAATAGGCATTAAGGATGCCACCCAAACGGTGGGTCCACGCGGTCCGGCACTGCTGCAGGATGTCAACTTCCTGGACGAGATGGCGCACTTTGATCGCGAGCGCATTCCGGAGCGAGTGGTGCATGCCAAGGGTGGCGGTGCATTTGGCTACTTTGAGGTCACGCACGACATAAGCAAATATTGTGCGGCCAAGGTGTTCGAGAAGGTCAAGAAGCGCACTCCAGTCGCCATTCGCTTCTCCACGGTGGGTGGTGAGAGCGGCTCGGCGGATACGGCTCGCGATCCACGCGGATTTGCTATTAAATTCTATACGGATGATGGAGTGTGGGATCTGGTTGGCAACAACACACCGATTTTCTTTATTCGCGATCCCATTCTGTTCCCCAGTTTCATCCACACGCAGAAGCGCAATCCGCAAACGCATCTGAAGGATCCGGACATGTTTTGGGATTTCCTCACGCTGCGCCCCGAGTCCACGCATCAGGTGTCGTTCTTGTTCGGCGATCGTGGCACACCCGATGGTTTCTGCCACATGAACGGCTATGGGTCGCACACCTTCAAGCTGATCAACGCCAAGGGCGAGCCCATTTATGCCAAGTTCCACTTCAAGACCGATCAGGGCATCAAGAACTTGGACGTGAAGACCGCTGCCGATCTGGCATCGAGCGATCCCGATTATAGCATTCGCGATTTGTACAACCGCATCAAGAACTGCAAGTTCCCCAGCTGGACGTGCTACATTCAGGTGATGACCTTCGAGGAGGCCAAGAAGCACAAGTACAATCCGTTCGATGTGACCAAAGTGTGGTCTCACAAGGAATTCCCATTGATCCCTGTCGGCAAATTGGTGCTCGATCGCAATCCGACTAACTACTTTGCTGAGGTGGAGCAGATTGCGTTCAGTCCGGCGCATTTGGTGCCCGGAATTGAGCCATCTCCGGATAAGATGTTGCAGGGTCGCCTTTTCTCATATTCGGACACGCATCGTCATCGTTTGGGGCCCAACTATCTGCAAATTCCCGTTAACTGCCCCTATCGGGTCAAGGTCAACAATTTCCAACGCGATGGTTTCATGAACGTCACCGACAACCAGAATGGGGCGCCCAATTATTTCCCCAACTCGTTCAACGGTCCCCAGGAAGATCCACGCTCTCGCGCCCTTTCCACCAGTTGCCCGGTGAGCGGTGATGTCTATCGCTTCAGCAGTGGCGATACCGAGGATAACTACGGCCAGGTGACCGAATTCTGGGTGCACGTGCTCGACAATTGCGCCAGGAAGCGTCTCGTGCAGAACATTGCCGACAATCTGAGCAATGCCAGCCAGTTCTTACAGGAGCGTGCTGTGAAGAACTTCACTTTGGTGCATGCCGACTTTGGACGTATGCTGTCTGAAGCCCTCAACCTTATCAAATCAGCCAAGTTCTAGACAGATGTCAACCTATTGGATTTTGCCTAATTCTCGGCAACTTACTGCAATATATATCCAACTTTCCACTGAACACAGTGTCAGTTCTTTGGTTGCGGGCAATTTCTTGTTTACTGCGTGGTACTTCATTGAACCTCTTTCCCATGCGTGTGCCTTGTTTTAAAATGCTACATTTTAGCAATGAAGATCACTTAAATATGTAACGATTCGCAATAAATATTAATCGTTTGATATAAAACAAGTTCCAATGCTTTTATTAATTTAATGCCAGAAGGATGGCAGTGCTGCCCATATCTATCAGCTCAATGTCCAGATTAATAACAAACACTCCACGAAATTCGTTTTTTCCTTATAAAATTGAAAATACAATTTTTCAAATTATTTTTTGTTGCAGAAAATTCAGCTGTTTCAAAAACACGTCAAATAAAAAATAAATTAAATTTGTTTTAAATTAGTATTACCATAACATTTTTTATTAATATATTTTTTAAATGAGGTTGGACCATACCTTAACGACAGCCTTCGTAGCTGCTCAACTGTCTCAAACTGTCGATTGGCCACTTAAACTCGACGAACAGGTGTCCCCACATGTTCTCTGTGGGATTCAGGTCGGGTGATTTTGCTGGCCACTCTAAAAGCTTAAAGTCCTTATCCACCCGAAACCACCCACGACAGACCCGTGGCACATGTGTTGGAGCATAATCTGGCTGGCATAATGGCTGATGCGCCATAAAGTTCACCAAAACTTCGTCCCACTGATTTATATAACCCTTAGAGCTGAAAGGGCCTGCACTCTTAAAAATCAGGGTCCTGTTGTGATGACTGAATGCAGTCCACATCATGAGTGAATCACCGCCACAGCCAGTAATACATTAAACCGTTTGGACCATCGAAATTAAATTTTATCCCATCTGCAAATATAACATTTATCACTTCAGGGTCCAGGACATGTGTTCTCTTGCAACATTTAATCTGCCTGTGGTGTGCGTTCGTTAATACTGACTTTGACCACGTTTCCTTCCAAACCAATCGATTACAAGCTAATAAAAATTGTTAAACACGATTTTTCGATATTTGTACCTTGAATCAAATAGAATTGAATTAGATGCTGTAGCATTTTATCCAGCCCAGCCCGCAAGATTGCAAATTTTTGCTTGTGTAATAATAATGTGATCTATTGCTGATGCCGATCGACGTAATTTAATTGATATTTGCGTGTTGCTCAATCCAGTATCCTTGTGGGCGAGAATCGCAGCCTTTTCCATTCCAAATTTTTGTATGCAACTGATCTAATTTGACCTATTAAGAATTAAATAAATATGTATTCTTTGTTATTCCATTCAAAGAAACTTCATATTACGCACTAATTCCTTTCCCAAAGGCTAGAAAGTGACTACCTTTAATCGATTTTCGCACCCAAAACTACCTCAAAAAACACAAATATGCAAAAATCTTTGAAAAAATTTATCATAGCAGTGGAAGAAGATGCATCCTTATAAAATGCTTAAGCAAGGTCTCATTGGGCTTGATACAGTTCTTAGCACCATAAACAGGATTGTCTTTAATCGAATTTCGCGGAGTGTATTTGTAAAGATGTTCTTTTTTAAGGTGTAAAACTTATATTTCAAATGTAACAATTGCAAATCAATGAAATGTGCATCGTTTCTTGTTGGTTTTCAACGCTCTGGTTTGTCTGCAAAACAAGGATTTTATTTAAGTAGCTCAGCAGGGCCTGGTCAGGCATCCGCTTGAAGATGGGGAAGCCATTCTTGAATGGGTCAATTATGTCGGGACACCTCAATTCTTATCGTCCTGAGGGAGATCGACATTATGTAATTCAATGCCAGACCGCAATGCCCACCGCATTGCGACTCAATTATTTAAGATTCAGTAAAAATAAAGGTTCTGCTTGACTCCTTTAGTGTCTTGGTTTCTTCGGACCACAGAACCACAGTTCCAGGATTTATTCTATCATATAAATATTTGAGTTAAAGTTAACTTAATCACTTGCGATTTCAAATTTGCAACGAGCAATGCGGTACAAATTCTTCTTAAAGCAGGAATTTGGGTCATGAGCAGCTTTTGGACGTCTTGTTTATTTGTTTTTATGTCCGATTGTTTTCAATCGCTTTCCGAAAGATAAATAGGACTTTATTTGGAAGTATCTTTGTCATCGTTGTGGGACAAATAATTTTAATTGTAAATATGATATAATGTACTCATACTCCTCGAGAATTATTTATCTTGACGGAATGCTAATCGCCATTTTCTCCGATATTAAAATAAGTTATATACAATATATATTTAATTTCATTTCTCGATATTACTAATTCATTTGCATTGGGTTGACTTTTAAAGATATACTGATTAAGTGAATTTTGTTAAAATACTGTTTATTACATATTCATAAAAAATATCAAAAGCACGCCGAAGATAATAAACTCTTTAAGTCTGGAGACTAGCTACTCTCGTCTAAATTGCATTATAAATTATAAATGAAAAAGTATTCCGACGGTTTCTTGATAAACAAAAATGCTTTCATTTCGTCATCTGGCTGCTAAATGAGATAGTGATCCGATCCGGTGCAAGTCATCATAATAGCAAAACTAAGATTACTTACACAGTCAGTAAAATCATGATAAATTCATAATATACTAAGTGAAATTGTGTTTTTACATTTTCATCATTTTTTATTTGATTTGTATAACTATATAAAACATAACTCATTTGAAAATGTACAGATTATTATTTAAACTTACAACTAGTGCTATTTGTGTGCGCAATTCAGTTCGCATTCAATATTGAGTAATTTTTGTTTTCATAAGTTTTCGTCTAAATTGAACAAAATTGCATTTGCTAAATCCCACTTTCGGTCAGTCTAGTTGCTAAAAAACAGAGTATAAAAAATACATTTCACTGTTACAATATGCAATTTCACATTAAATATATATAACATTTGATTTTTGCTAAATGCAACAATTAAGTATCATATGTATATACATAAGCTCAGTTTTCCAAGAACTATATGCACACATGGATATAGTACATAAACGTATATTAAAGGCTGTTAGTAAATGCGATCGGCTTCAATGACGCTCCATTTCCTAATTTGTTAACTTTGTTGCTATTGAATTTTCTACGGCTTGTTCTCGATTAACAATGATAGAGACTCTGTTACCGTTTAAGAGTTTAATCCTTAAAGCTTCGTTATGGAGTTTTTCTAAATTCGTTTAACAGTGTGATTGTTTTCTATTTGTATTTTTTTTTTTTTTTTTTTTTTGTTTTCAGCTTTGTTTATGCTTAACCGTGTTGTGAACCATATAAACATTTAAGCAAAGGCACTCTTTCTTCTTTGTACAGTTCTCCCTTGGCGATATTTATGGGAGTTGTGTTCACTATTAGACTAGACATCTAATAAACTAATTTTTGAAGGCCAGATCAGTCAGCGGGTGTGTGCCATTGGCAGCCAACTGGGCTAACGGCTCCGTGATATTGGCCAATATGTTGCTCACTAGATTCGAGCTGCCTGTAGACAAATCATTTACCAATTCGGTATTGTTTGCAAGTAGACGTGAGGCATTTGCTGCAAACTCAATTGTCTTGCTAGCAGCAACCGCGGACAAATGGCGGGTCTTATTTGCTGCTTCCTCGGCGGCTATCTGCGCCCACTCTGGGAACGTGTCCAAGCTAGGATAAATGACCTTGGCCCAAGTTTGGCAGAAAATAAACAGCGTTATTATTGTGATAATCGTTGGTCCAATTCCCGCAATCGCCATGTCCTTGCTGCGAATGTGGGCATATCCAGCGACCAAAGCGTTTGGCGGCGTGCTCACTGGCAAGTGGAAGGCCATACTGCAGGCCAGACCTGCAGGAAAAACTAAGTACAGCGGATTTATCTTCAATGCCAGCGACTGTAAATAAAATGTACCAATAAAATAGGGTTAATTGCGAGCTGTTCAAATTCATAGCCACATCCATTACGTACCATCTCGTTGAGCACAGGCACAAGAATATTGGCAACAGCCACATTCGAGCTAAAGGCGGTCATAAATACAGCTACCAGAATGACAACCAACAATAGCGCTGCGTTTGGTAGCACCTTCAGGCCACTCATCGAGCTGCCAATCAACGAGGCCATTCCACTCTGTTTGCTGCCAGCGGCCAGGGCGAAGCCACCGCCAAGCAGGAACACCAGACCCCACGGCACTCTGGTCTGTATGAACTTCCATGTGATTAGAGATGATGTCGGCGCCGTTGGCACTGGTCCACGTCGCGTACAATATCGCAGGAATGCATAATTGGCGGGCAGCATGAAGCACATGATCACCACGAATATGGTTGGCATGGAGTTCTTAATAACCCTGAAAAAAATGCATTTAATTAAGGAGGCCGATATAAACCAAGTAACAATGTTGAACAGTTATCTCCAAGGTCTCAAAAACTTAACAGGGCTTATATGCATTTCTAAGAAATCTAACCATTAACAAACAAACAAATAAACGAAACAATTGATCGAATAAGTAGATGTAATTACAAGAAAAACCTGTCGTAATTCGCTTTCCCGAAATTAATTATTCTTCCTTACTGGCTGCCAAATCGGAATCGGAATCGTTTGCCAATTAAAATTCAGAATCGGCATTTAAATTAAAATTTTTTTTAAAAACACAAATGCCGGCTCAGATATTATTTGTTCCGTTAATACCATCGTAGTGGAATGGTCGATCTCGTTACTTGGATGTATTTGAGTGAATGCGTCTGTGTTCAAGCTGATATAGTTCTATTCAAAATTTATATTCCTTGCTCTTATAATCTCTGAGATACATTTGTTCACAGAGACGGACAGACAGATATGGCTAGATCAAATCGGCTATTGAACTTGATCAGTAAATATATCCATTATTTGGTCGGAGATGCTTCCTTCTGCTTGTTACATATTTTTTTTATCTATTTTTTATTGGGTTCAGGCACTAAGTAAACAACATATAATAAACTTACTTTGAAGGCAGCAGGTCCGCCCAACCGGTAAATATTCCCGGTTTGCGTGTAAAGTACATGAGAACCATAATAATGAAAAGTATCATCACTTGGATTTCGTGTATACTCATTTTACCCAACTCCTTGTAGCGTTGATCAATTACTTTCTTGGCCACATGAGCGTTATCCTTGCCAACTTGCACCTCTTGGGCCTCCTTGCTCTTCGGTCGCCACAGACCCATGAAATGCCATTGCAGAAAAACATATGTGAGTACTGTATAGACCAGCATCGAGGGCACCGAGTAGAACATGAATGTCGCAAAATCCATTTTCTCGGTGGCATTAGGGAACGCAGAATCGTAGATGCCTTTGAATGTTAGATTTGTGGCAGTGCCAATTATGGTTCCACAGCCACCAAGAGACGATGCATAGGCAATACCCAGATAATAGCATTGTGTAACCTTTGTAGGATATGGCAATCTGTACAATTAGAAATGATTAAAAATAAATGTACAATTTTTACCCGTTTTATGGTATAACTCACTCATCCTCATTCTTTTTTTTGTTCTTTCCACCAACCATTTGATACTCGGGCTCATGATATATCTTACAGACACCTTGCTATAAAATGATTAATGGGATGGGTTATTCAATGTTAGGTCTAACGTCTTTTATTGTTGCCACTCACAGATTGCAGTTCCTCAAGTACCGCCTGGACAATGGGGCTCATCATTGCTGTGCAGGCCGCATTTGAAATCCACATGGATATAAACATTGTCACCATAATCAGGCCAAAGTGTAATCTATAAGATACGAATAATAGTCGACCAGCTGTAGCCGATTAATTCACAACGGAAAAAAAAGAATAAGAATATTGACCTTCGGGGACTGCAGCCCACTATTTGGATCACTCTCAGCGCCAGACGCTTGTGTAGACCACTATATTCCACTGCGAGGGCAACCATTATGCCACCCATAAACATCACCAATGTGTCCTTAAAGTATGTCATGCACGTCTCTTCGGAGCCCTACAAATCACAAGTCATCAGACCAGTCAGCTAATGTTGTGCGATGATAACGATCGAGATATTTACCATGATGCCCATAGTGGGAAATGCAACAATTGGTATCATTGATGTAACGTAGAGGGGCAGGGCTTCAGTGACCCAAAATACAGCCATTATCAACAATACGTACATGCAACGGTATGCCTGTAATGATAGAACATATTAGCATATTTTATAAAACTTTGAGACAACTTGTCTCTAAGATACTTACCGGAGTATTGTTCATAAATATTATGGGAAGGCAGAGCAGGGGCATTAGGAACACAACACATCCTTTCCAGTGATTTGCAAAGAAATTTCCCCAACGGGGACGCGTTTCTACAGGTTCCGCTGCTTCACTGCAAAGGATAAACAATTTATTTATATAGCGATTAAGTTACCTACACGTAATAGTAATAAAATCGAAAATCAAGTTATTTGTTCCAACTTACAGTTCCATTTTAAAATCCGGATAAATCTGCAAGCAAATAAATACAGAAAAACACATAAGTACAGAATGGAAGGTAGTTTGTCTAAACCCTGAACGAGCCTCTAAAAATTGTCACATTTATTACTAGTGGCCATGTTTCCATTTTAGCGAAGATTGTTCAATTATTATCGTTTACACTTCGTTAAAATGCCATTCATTTAAATGTATGCCGAATCGAAAAGAAAATCAACTCAATCGACATATAAATACGTTTATTTATAAAACCTAATAATAATCAATAGTTATCCGACTATCATGTACCCCATATAATACTTACATCATTGATCTAAAAACTTATAATAACAACACACTCTAATCATTTTGTTGTTACAGAAGTGTTTCTATGTTTACTCATTCGATTATAAAAAATGTTTACTCATTAAGATTCGCAGTAGTAAATAATGTATATTTAAACAAAATAAAAACGGAAATGAATTATTATCATGGAATTAGACAGTCCTTTTTTACATGTATCCAGAATATAGCCTTCTATTTATGTGCAGTAATCAGCTAATATACAAACATCAGATGTAATTTCTTTGCAAAACTATCTATATTGGCGCATGGAAATCGAATATTGTGGTGTGGTGGTGTGTGCGGTGCTGTCAACGTCTGTTCTGTATTCGGTTCGGTGCGTTGAGTTCTGTGTTGGAAAATAATTATTTCATAAGTGTAGTATATGCATGACGACGGCGTCGGCCTCTATTTTACGTACGTCATCAGCCGCTGAGTATAGTCAATATGATAATTCTCGTATACACTGTGCTAGCCACAAATTTAGTGCCGTTTTTTCTTATTTAAAAAATTGTTATAAATAATTAACTATTATTGCCTTTTAATTTTAAATTGAAAGATATCGGTTTTACCAAAATTAATTCAAACTCTACAAAATCGTATACCGTTGGTCATCAAAACTATATATACATAGATACACTTCCGTTGCATTGCGTTCAATAAATAAATCGATTAAAGCTTCATTAAATGTTTTGGAATAAAATCAAGACAAAGATTCTCTAATGATAGTCGAAAGGCTCGACTCAAATTGCGAACATTTTTAAAAACAGTTTTTGTTAGACCCAATTTAATGACGAACTTTTTTATAATAGTAGGTCTCCGACCTAATAAATTATATATATATATTCTTGATTTCCAGCACTAGGCAAGTCTGTCTGTCCATGTGTCTGAATTCATATTTTACAATCAATTTTTTAATAAGCTGCACTCTCTCAGTTTTAAAGCTATTTTGTTCTATAAGCTATTAAGTTGTGGGATTGAGATATGCGAAGACATGTCACTCTTTATAATACAATATAACTAAACAAATGTGAAACATTTAGTTTACAGACAGTCGTGAAACAGAAAACATTTGTATGTCCGAAAACATAGTAGTATTTCGAGGCAGAATTAAATGTAGTTTTTATCAGAAGATTAACCACGATCTACAAGAATAAATAATCTTCTTCGTGTGTATATAACCATTATTTTTGTTTTAAGGTCAATAAGGAATAGCAACCTTATACATCGTTCTCGTCGAAATGAGTTTGCTAGGTGTAGCCGTACAATTAAATTGAAATTGAATTAGAGTCATTAGATTTATTGGTTATTTAACTATTTATTGCCTGATTGTCATGTAATTTTTTGAGCGATCTTTATTTGCCATCCAAATTTGTGATTATAATCTGCATATCTCTTCTCTTCCTACCTCCTTCCAATCTCCATCATACTTTTATTTAAACATTTGTTTGATTTTTGACATTTTGTTTCCACAATAGCTTATTGATAAAGTGGTCCGGTTCGACTGCCATAGCAACGAGTAATATACAAAAGTGTAAGCACATTAGTCGGCAATAGTTTAAATTTCAAGATAAATATTGGTAGGCAGCATTGTACATAATATGAATATATTAGTTGCCAAGTGAAACACGTTAATTCGTCACCATAAATCAAATGTTTCAGAAGCTATGGAATTAACTTTTGAAGCCAAAACGTGCTGCTGGTTTTTCCAATAACATATCTATAAGATACTTTTGTATAATTTACAATCAGTCTTGTCAGCCAAAAAAAAACAGAACGCTGCCCATTAAAAATAGTCCCCTGCAGTCACACGGCGACAATGTCAATGCCAATACTTTTAGATATAGCAAGGAAAGAAAGGAAAAGGGAAAGAAAGAGAGAGAGAGAGAGAGAGAGAGAGAGAGAGAGAGAGAGAGAGAGAGAGAGAGAGAGAGAGATACATGCGTGCTCATGAAAAACACTACCTGTAGCTTGGTTTTCCAATTCTTTTTTTTTTTAATAAATGTAATAATATATACGTATGAGTATATGTATTTTAGTGTATTTGCTCAATCGGGAAATGTGTTATCATTAAGCTTTACCCCATATAACTATCAGGTTTCCACCCAATAAATATTGTTACACAGCAAACAATAACTGAAATTTATTTGTGTGCTTACTTGGGCGTAAATCTATTTATTAGTGACAAAATTTGCATTTTAAATTTTACACCACCGTGACCGTCAATTAGTCAAGCAGATGTCTATTATACCCCTGTTAGCGGAATAAAAGTTTTGTTTATGATCATGTAATACCCTTTCAGCAACACTATGAAATGTATACACAAATATTATTGTATTGTATAATTTCACTTGGCCCGTGGTCACATTTCAGTTTAAAATAATAAACTATTTTTACGATCGTGCTAATTTTGTCAGCTTTTAGTTTTGCCACAGCTGGTGCCAAAACTCAGTAAAGAGTGCACGAATCGAGGATACCCTGCACCTAAATGTACTTAAAAGAGTCGGGGATGTACGTGTCGGCCTGACTCATTGATTTGAATAAGCCGATTATACCCTTTTTATAAATTAATCAGCTATAGGGTACACAATATTTTCCACAAGCAATTAAAAAAAGCAGAAATAAACAAATTACAATTATTGACATTGTAGCACGCTCTAAAGTTAAGAAGGGGTTTCTCATCACTGTAGGTATGACCGCATTTTGAAATTCTGAATTTAATATTACTACATCGATGGTGATGCTCATGTTTTTGAATGTGCGCTTGATTGACTACAAAACTGATAAAAAAAAAGGAGGGAGAGCGACCCTGGATGTGCGAATGATAGACAGTAAATTGATAAAGTGTTGCATATAAGGAATCTATATTATAGACTTAATTCAAATAAGCGCTATCAATTGACAATGTCAACCTACGTAAAATTGTTTGTGCTCAATCAATTTAAATTAAATATGTATAGTGTATATACACACACGTACGTGCTTACGTACATATACGCATGGAGATATCATCTATCTCTGTTATTAATAGGAAATGTAAATGTTTACGATCGAATTGAGAGTGAAAATCGCAGAACCGTTATTATCGATGCGCCAATGATTACGGGTTTTGTAGAGAATTTTTTACCTTATTGGAGTTATTAAAAAACAGTGTCGTATTTCGATACATATCGAAATTAGTGAATAGGTTTTCACAAAAAGAATTATAAGTATCTAGCTATTACATTCTCTTTAATAGATAGACAGATCTTTTTGGCCTGATGCATGTGATTATATTACTACTAATATTTAATATTACAAACAACACAAACCGAACTTAATTATAGCCTTAATTTGTGTAAATCCAAGTATCCATTTTCTCTACTTGTTAAAACTAAAATACTTTTTATCTCGTTATATCTTTTTTAGCTTCATGAAATAATAGAAACGGAAACTAATAACAAGATTGATTTCTTTCTAATTCTAGTTGTTAGAGACGTCAATTACAATGTAATAACACACTAAACACTCAAACTACTCACATTTCGGGTAGTTATGACAATAGATTTTAGATAGAATTGCTGTTTAATTATTGCGAAGTGCCCACTTCCACATAAATTAATGGAGATACCTATTAAAGCTATGAAATGGAATGTAACTCATACTATTGTTATACACTTGCAGTGGAGTTTATGACATTATCACGAAATATATTACCTGCTGATGCCATCTGACATTCATCTTTTACTTTCTTGATAGAAACGACGAGAACATTTTATTTATCCATTTCCTTTCTAATAGGAAGCGAACGTCTTAATTTTGTACACATTTTGATATTCATAACATATATTATAAATATATATTTTTCATTTATCAGTTGTAAGTATATAATGAATTGTCATAATTAAAATTTGTTTTATCATTGAATATTAAAAAGCGAACAAGACTCCTTAATAAAAATTTAAATAGAACTACAAAACCAAAACGAAAATGTCTTCAAAATTATGGATTAGGCCATAATAGAGTATTCAACAATGAACACAACCATAACTTTTTTTTTTGTTTATCGGTACTAATGATATAAAAAATGAGGCTATGGAAACATCGTACAACGTGTAGTTATAGTCTATGTTTGATAAGTGAAGTGTTTACAAATTACATACACATAAACATAAATTAATTGTTATAATGGGGCATGTGAGTTACATGTTATGTATTTTCAGTAGAAAACCAACCAATAGAACATCCCAGGAATTGGGATGGATATTTAAGGCATGGGAGTCATACATTAAATAACTCCAAATGATCACGTATTCAAAAAGTAGTACACAAAAAATTATCAACATTTTAATGAAATACGTGCTTCGATAGTTTTAATTCAGTGAATTTTTAGTAGATACGGAAGTTATTACATTTATTTACTATTTCATAATACGTTTGAATTTATATAGACGAAGCGTGTTTCAACAGAAATTAAATTGACACCACTAATATATAAAATTTGACTCAACTTATTTGTCGAGCCCTCAAGATAAATGTATATTTTTGTATAATCTGTAACCATAAAAAATTCGTACAATGGGTAACATGAAATCACATAAATGTATGTGACAGGCAGAATGAGGCATCTCAGAACCACAGAGTACAATATATATGTACATTACTTATCAGCACCCTTGGCAGAATCGATGCCCTCATGTCATGCCATCTGTCTG